ATTATTATTATTATTATTATTATTATTATTATTGTAAGTAATAGTAGTAGCAGTATTGTGATTTCTCTTTCACAAACTAGTACTGGTTATTCAGTTCTCAGAATATAAATGTCATAAGAGTACGGTTAGAAGCCTGAGTAGATCTGTAACTCGCTATGATAACATGAACGATGATCAGCATGTTTAGAGAGCAGCTTACAATGCAGACTGACTGATGTAGTAGCCAGGTTTGCTTGCAAGTACTTCTGGCAATTTGGTATATACATGAATGGTGATCAAGCTAAATGCAATGTATGTGGTCATCCTGTTAACTCTTTTGGGATCTAATCCTAAGAATATTTATATATCCATATTTTTTTTTTGCTCTACCGTCCACAGGCTAGATATGGGGTGCATAATAAACTAGCCGCTTCAGCAGCAAAATCTGGTCTAAATTATTTTACTGGTAGACACTTTATATTATTACCAAGTTAAGAATTATGGTTAGCATGCTACAACAGCTCATCTGACTCCTACCCTTTGCTAAGCTGGAGAATCCTGGTCAGTATCCTCCAGCAGCCAGTTCTCCTACCTAGTGCTGCCCTGAAGAATCCTGGGCATCATCCTACAGCAGTTCGTTTGATACATGCCTGCTCTTTTGCCCTTTGTGTATTACCTACAGCCTGGGTACTATCCAAGAGCGGGACTCCTGGCACCTACTTGCTCTCTCTCTCTCGCCTGCCGGGTGAGAACACAAATAAAGCAAAAGGGAATTTCCTGTTCAATTTCCGGTCACCGTTAATTATTGCTCGCGGTACCGTTAATCACTTCCGTTGGTGTCAGGAGGCTGATGTCAGAGGTGTCGACAGGCTGATGTCAGAAGGCTTTTGTCTGAGGTGTAAGAAGGCTGGTGGCCGAGGTGTCAGGGAAGGTAGCGGCTCAGGTACACTTTAGAAAAGCTGATATAATGCTAGGAGAACAAAAACTTACCAACTGGTAAACAATTTGGTTTCCAGTTTGGAAATTCATGTATATTAAATTTTTAAATTAAGCTATTACTACAGTCTCGGAAATTGCTGAAAAAAGAATTGGATGAGCAGATTGTATTTATGAAGGCTTTAAGAAAGCTTTTGACAGAGTTCCGTGAAGGATACATGAAGGATGCTTTCAGAGGTTAACGCCCCCCGCGGCCCGTTCCGAGACCAGGCCTCCTGAAGGATCAAGGCCTGATCAACCAGGCTGTTACTGTTAGCCGCACCAGGCCATGGTACGAACCACAGCCCTCTCTCGAATACAACCAGACGTTTGTTGGTAATTCCCCTTATGCACTGGCTACCTTGATCTTTCTCTTTTACTAATAACACTGATGACACTCTTGGCTTACGTTTCCATTCCTAGTTTTCCAGCACACGGATCCTTGTGACAACACTCTCCGGCTCACCAGGGGTTTACACAGGTCGGAACTACTGTCTGTAATATATTTTTTTTTACTGAGAGTACACAAGTTTCCTAGGTTAGGTTAGATAAGGTTCGTCAGGAAACAGGACAGGTTTTTACTGACGTGGGTCTTAGTCATATGATGACCCACAGCTGGAACTTTTAGTCATCTGACCCGTCAGTCACTTTAAAAATTATGGTTATAATTAGATATATTGAGAGTTTAACTGTCACCTTTCCATAACTGCAACCCGGGAATGACTGTTTCTCAATTCTCTGAGAACAAAGAGAGACTACAGGGGTGTTGGCTAATAGAGCTGCTTATACATCTAGTTGAGTACACTGAGTACAACCAGGCAACTTCACAGAGTGCAACTAGGTGAATACGCAAGGTAAGTACAAGGCGAGTGCATCTAGGAGAGTACACTATATGAGTACAACTGAGTGCGCTAGGTGAATACAATAGGTAAATACACTAGGTGAATACAAGTATGTCAGTACTCTACGTAAATGCATTAGGTGAGTATACTAGTTACGTATATTAGGAGAGTACACTAGTTAAGTACATTAGGTGAGCGCACTAGGTATCCGTAGCCCCAGACTGTTTAACATCAGAAGGTATCAGAAACACTGCTGGGATAAGTGTAGAAGTCTTCAAGAGGAAGCTGGTCAAGTATCTTCACCAAATACCAATTCATCCAGGCTGTGATGAATATATGGGCCAGCGGGCCGTTAGCATCAACAGTCTGGTTGACCAGGCACGCACCAGACGAGACTGGTTCACGACGGGGCTCCGAGAGTAGAAAAACTCTCGAAACTCATCAAAGGAAAAGGTGAGTATACTACATTTGATATTCCTTTGATGAGTTCCGGCCATGGGCCAACCTAGTCTGGTGCTTGCCTGGTCAACTAGACTGTTGCTGCTGGCGTCCCGCTGGCTCACATATCCATCACAGCCTGGTTGAACTGACGCCTGGCTCTAGGTGAGCACCGAGTGCACTAGATAAGTACAACTAGAAGAGTACACCAAGTGAAGTACCGTTAGATGAGAACCCTAGGTGAGTACAATTAAATGAGTACTGTAGGTTAGGTGAATACAGTAACATGAGTACACTGAGTACAATTAGTTAAGTACACCAGGTTAGTATAGTCAAGTACACCAGGTAAAGTACAATTAGACAAGTACACCAAGTACAATTAGACAAGTACATCAGGTAAAGTACAATTAGACAAGTACATCAGGTAAAGTACAATTAGACAAGTACACCAGGTAAAGTACAATTAGACAAGTACACCAGGTAAAGTACAATTAGACAAGTACATCAGGTAAAGTACAATTAGACAAGTACACCAGGTAAAGTACAATTAGACAAGTACACCAGGTAAAGTACAATTAGACAAGTACATCAGGTAAAGTACAATTAGACAAGTACACCAGGTAAAGTACAATTAGACAAGTACACCAGGTAAAGTACAATTAGACAAGTACACCAAGTACAATTAGACAAGTACATCAGGTAAAGTACAATTAGACAAGTACACCAGGTAAAGTACAATTAGACAAGTACACCAGGTAAAGTACAATTAGACAAGTACATCAGGTAAAGTACAATTAGACAAGTACACCAGGTAAAGTACAATTAGACAAGTACACCAGGTAAAGTACAATTAGACAAGTACACCAGGTAAAGTACAATTAGACAAGTACACCAGATAAAGTACAGTTAGACAAGTACACCAGGTAAGTACAGTTAGACAAGCACACTAGGAGAGTACAGTTAGACAAGCACACTAGGAGAGTACAGTTAGACAAGCACACTAGGAGAGTACAGTTAGACAAGCACACTAGGAGAGTACAGTTAGACAAGCACACTAGGAGAGTACAGTTAGACAAGCACACTAGGAGAGTACACGCAAAGAAAACCAAGGCAAAAGAGACCTGTGTTTTTTATCCACAATATTGTTAACTACCGGAGTTGAAAGTTTAGTTGAGTTTACCTCCTCGTTGGTAAGTTAGTGAAAGTTGTGTTCAGACCAGATTCATCTTGCTGTTGGTGACGAGCAGGAGGGAGGGGGAGGGGGAGGGGGAGGGGACAGAGTGAGAGGTAGAAGAGGGGAGGAGGAGGTAAGAGGGCGCAGGATGAAGGGGATAACATAATAGAATTTTTTTAAGCCTCTGTGCGAGTACAGTTAAGAAGTTCCTTCACTCGCCACACCTCGAGTTCCTTCACTCGCCACACCTCGAGTTCCTTCACTCGCCACACCTCGAGTTCCTTCACTCGCCACACCTCGAGTTCCTTCACTCGCCACACCTCGAGTTCCTTCACTCGCCACACCTCGAGTTCCTTCACTCGCCACACCTCGAGTTCCTTCACTCGCCACACCTCGAGTATCTTCACTCGCCACACCTCGAGTTCCTTCACTCGCCACACCTCGAGTATCTTCACTCGCCACACCGAGTATCTTCACTCGCCACACCTCACACATCATAATAAATCGATATACCTGTGACTGCTTGTCAGCGTTCTCACACCATCAATGTGAAACCAAACACCTGACTTCCTTGTGACTGATCAACCAACATCTTGCTGCCAGCAGCCCGTAAGCCATAACCTGGCATGTTTTTGAGGAAGAGATTCAGTCTCACGTGGAAAACTTTTTCCTATGCCTCAAGCAGTCCCATATAGTAAAAATTAAAGGAAAATATTACAAGAGTGAAACATATTTATCTTTCTTACGCCACCGCCAGGAAACTCTTCAAGTCATCTGACGAAGGTTTTACTTGTACATGAAAGGTCTACAGTACCGACAAGTTGAAGAATTAGACACAGGTTCAACATCTGGGTATCTTTATTTGTAGACTTGTCGCCATCCAGTGGCTTTATCAATACAAATTCAAGGACAAAATGGGGACACTGTAGAGCTCGTAGGGCAGAAGAGCACTGCTCCTCCTACCTTGTGTTTAGTGTCTTCATAGTGGAGAGTTTATTATATTTTTAAGCTGACTGGGTGACTGTGGGGGTTTGGTTGAGGCGTTGAAACAAGAGAGTGGGGTCAAGGTGTTGCAACAGTGATGTGGGGTCAAGGTGTTGCAACAGTGATGTGGGGTCAAGGTGTTACAACAGTGATGTGGGGTCAAGGTGTTGCAACAGTGATGTGGGGTCAAGGTGTTGCAACAGGGGTTTAGGACCAAGGTGTTACAACAGGGGTGTGGGGCCAAGGTGTTACAACAGAGGTGTGGGGCCAAGGTGTTACAACAGGGGTGTGGGGCCAAGGTGTTACAACAGAGGTGTGGGGCCAAGGTGTTACAACAGGGGTGTGGGGCCAAGGTGTTACAACAAGGGTGTGGGACCAAGGTGTTACAACGGGTGTGGGACCAAGGTGTTACAAAAGGGGGTGTGGGACCAAGGTGTTACAACAGGGGTGTGAGACCGAGGTTTTACAACTAACGGATATGATATCAGTATGTTAAGAGTATACAATACCGACAAGTGAGACAACAACAGTAGAATATCCTTGTTAACAAGTGACACTCAAGTGCTGCAGATGTCTTGCTCGTCTAAACAGGGGGTGGAGTAGCGTACCTGCCACAGGAGACATCTTGTCCAGCACAGCCCAGCGTTGCTTCCACTGTAGGGAGGAGACACAACATTAGTAAATACAACTACCACCACCACCTTCACCAATAGCCTGCTGGAACAATGTATTTTATTGAAATAGGGTTACGACACAGTAACGGGAAACCCAGACACGCATTACCATAGGTTCATAATGAACTGGAGATGCCAGTCCTCATTCATCCACACACAATGAACACACACACACAAACACCTACTGTACTTGGGAAACGCGCCTGTAGAGGGATCATCTCTCTCTTTCCAGTTTACATCTCTTCTTTCTCCTTAAGGGAATATACCTTGAGTATACTTCAGCTGCCAGAACTGGTTCGGATCCATGTTATTTACGCTATCTTCTCAGCATGTTTCATTAAGGAGACGATCCCGGTTTATGCTCTTGTTGTTCAAGTTGAACTTGGTGAACACACCCTCATAAGTGTATGCATTTTGTTGGTCAGTATCCCTGTGCATAAAAGTCTGAACTTCAATAAGGTTGTCATCTGAATTTACTGTGTTTAATACTGTTATATTTCATACCTGCCTCTCGCAACTACTGGACCACTATGATATGGTCTTGGATGCACTGGAAAAGAAACAGAATGCAGAAGTAATATACACACATTTTGCAAAACCCTTTGACAAGTGCGATCATGGTGTAATATCACACAAAATGCGTGCTAGTATGCAGATGGATCAACTTTCTAGCCAATCGAACACAAAGAGTAGTGGTAAACTGAGTTAAATCGGAAGCTGCCGTAGTGAAGAGCTCCGTTCCACAGGCACAGTACTCGCCCCTATCCTGTTCCTCATCCTCATATCAGACATAGACAGATGTAAACCATAGCACCGTATCATCCTTTGCAGACGATACCAGGATCTGCATAAGAGTGTCATCCATTGAGGACACGGCAAATCTCCAATATATATAAACCAAGTTTTCCAATGGGCAACGGAGAATACTATAATGTTCAATAAAGACAAATTCCGACTACTCCGTTATGGAAAACTGGAGGAAATAATAGCTAGAATTGAGTATACTATAAACTCTAATCACAGAATAGAGCGGAAAAGTAATGTGAAGGGCCTGGGAGTGGTAATGTCTGAGGATATCACCTTCAAGGATCACAACAGTGCCACTATCACAACTGAGAGGACACTGATAGGATGAATAATGAGAACATTCAAGACAAGAGTTACCAAGCCAATGATGATCCTTTTTAAATCACTTGTTCTCTCTAGGCTGGAATACTGCTGTACATTAACATCTCCATTCAAGGCAGGTGAAATTAGAGATCTAGAGAATGTACAGAAAACCTTTACTACACATATAAGTGCCATCAAACACCTTAACTACTGGGAACACTTGGAAGCACTTGTACTCGGTGGAACGCAGGCGAGAGAGATGCATCATAATCTACACCTGGAAGATCCTGGAGGGACTTGTCCCGAATCTGCACACAGAAATTACTCCCTGCGAAAGCAAAAGACTTGGCAGGCGATGCAACATACCCGCAGTGAAAAGTAGGGTCGCCATTAGTACACTAAGAGAAAACACAGTAAGTGTCCGGGGCCCAAGACTGTTGAACAGTCTCCCACCAACCATAAGGGGAATTACCAATAGACCCCTGGTTGTCAAGAGGGAGCTGGACAGATACCTAAAGTCAGTGCCGGATCAGCCGGGTTGTGGTTCGTACGTTGGACTACGTGCGGCCAGCAGTAAAAGCTCCTGATCCACCTGGAGGCCTGGTCATGGACCGGGCCGCGGAGGCGTTGATCCCCGGAATACCCTCCAGGTAGGTAAACCAGGTAATCATTATTCGTAAATATATGGTCAAGTGTGTTTTCCAGTCTCGTTGGCTCCACTATTTGCTGGCTTAGAATGAATTTATTATAGAGAATCAGCATCTCGTGTGTAATTTTTCATGTGTGCTGCCTCCAGGGATTGTCCCTGCTATAGCATTATCTGCTACATTCTTCCATTTTGTATGTCTTAGATTGAAATCACCAACCAACAAGATATCTGGGCCTGCGTGTAGAAGCTTTTCCAGACAGTAATCAATTTACAGTAAATGTTCCTTGAACTGGCAGCTTATATACAACCACAATTACTAGGTTTTGCTTCTCAATCTTTATTGCTAAAACTTCATCTAGATTATTTGCAGTGTTTAGTAAGTCAGTGCGAATGAGCGGGTCTTTGACATACAGGCCAAATCCCCCTTGTTGCCTATTCTGTCTGTTGGATCTAAACAAGTTGTAACATGTTATCTATATTTTGTTGTCAAAGTGGTCTTTTATGTGGGTCTCTGTGAACGCCGCAAACATCGCATTTCACTCCAAGAGTCCGCTGATAAAAACTGTTTTGTTGGTGGATGATTAAGGATCTGTATATTCGCAAGTACAAATTAAGTCGTATTGCTTGTTGAGTGGGATATTTTTTGTTGTTGTTAGTATCAGTATCTGTGGTTCTGGAGTGGAGACCTCTGACGGTGCCTCCGATATAATTTGTTTCTGAAGTGGTGGAATACTTTTGACATTTCTTTCCATTTTTTCTACTTCCTGGCGCTAAAAATACTCTTGATTTGTAATGGTTGTAAGTACTATGGTTAGTTTCCCAACGTTTGTTGGGTCTGCACCTCCTCGTTACCTAGAGGTTATTCCGGGGATCAACGCCCCCGCGGCCCGGTCCATGACCAGGCCTCCCGATGGATCAGAGCCTGATCAACTAGGCTGTTACTGCTGGCCGCACGCAGTCCAACGTACGAGCCACAGCCCGGCTGATCCGGCACTGACTTTAGGTATCTGTCCAGCTCTCTCTTGAAGGCAGCCAGGGGTTTATTGGCAATCCCCCTAATGCTTGATGGGAGGCTGTTGAACAGTCTTGGGCCCCAGACACTTATGGTGTTTTCCCTTAGTGTACCAATGGCGCCCCTACTTTTTATTGGGGGCATTTTGCATCGCCTGCCCAGTCTTTTACTTTCGTTGGGAGTGATTTCTGTGTGCAGATTTGGGACCATTCCTTCCAAGATTTTCCAAGTGTAGATCATGATATATCTCTCCCTCCTGCGTTCCAACGAGTACAAGTCAAGTGCTTCCAAGCGTTCCCAGTAGTTAAGGTGCTTGACAGAACTTATACGTGCAGTAAAGGATCTCTGTACACTCTCTAGATCTGCGATTTCACCTGCTTTGAATGGAGATGTTAATGTACAGCAGTATTCCAGCCTAGAGAGAACAAGTGATTTGAAAAGGATCATCATTGGCTTGGCATCTCTGGTTTGGAACGTTCTCATTATCCATCCTATCATTTTCTTTGCACGTGCGATCGTGGCACTGTTGTGATCCTTGAAAGTAAGATCCTCAGCCATTACTACTCCCAGGTCCCTTACATTATTTTTCCGCTCTATTTTATGACCAGAGTCTGTAGTATACTCTGTTCTAGTTATTATCTCCTCCAGTTTTCCATAACGGAGTAGTTGGAATTTGTCCTCATTGAACTGGAAAACTTTGTTTATATCTTCTTGGAGGTTAACCGCGTCCTCAGCAGATGACAGCCTCATGCAGATCCTAGTATCATCCGCAAAGGATGATACGGTGCTGTGATGTATATCTCTGTCTATGTCTGATATGAGGATAAGGAATAAGATGGGGGCGAGTACTGTGCCTTGTGGAACAGAGCTCTTCACTATGGCAGCCTCCGATTTAACTCTGTTGACCACTACTCTTTGTGTTCGATTTGTTAGGAAGTTGAAGATCCATCTCCCCACTTTCCCAGTTATTCCTTTAGCACGTATTTTATGGGCTATTACGCCATGATCGCATTTGTCAAATGCTTTTGCAAAGTCTGTGTATATTACATCTGCATTCTGATTTTCTTCCAGTGCATCCAAGGCCATATCATAGTGATCCAGTAGTTGTGAGAGGCAGGAGCGACCTGCCCTGAACCATGTTGCCCTGGATTGTGCAGATTTTGGGAATCCAGGTGATTTGCAATCCTGCTTCTTAGCACTCTTTCAAAGATTTTTATGATGTGGGACGTCAGAGCTATTGGTCTATAGTTCTTAGCTAATGCTTTGCTGCCACCTTTATGGAGTGGGGCTATATCCATTGTTTTAAGTGACTGTGGAATTTCACCCATGTCCAAGCTCCTCCTCCATAGTGTACTTAGGACACGCAAGAGGGGTTTCTTGCAGTTCTTAATGAAAATAGAGTTCCACGAGTCTGGGCCCAGGGCTGAGTGCATGGGCATGTTGTCAATGACTTTTTCGAAATCTATCGGAGTTAGGGTAATGTCGGAAATCTGGCATACATTTATGGAGTTTTGAGGCTCATTCATGAAGAAATCATTTGGGTCGTCGATCCTCAGACCGATTAGTGGTTCACTAAACACAGAGTCGTACTGGGATTTCAATATTTCACTCATTTCCTTGTTGTCATCTGTGTAAGTCCCATCCTGTCTGAGTAAGGGCCCGATACTAGATGTGGTATTTGCCTTGTTTTTGGCATATGAAAAGAAATATTTTGAATTTCTTTCAATTTCACTAATAGCTTTAAGCTCCTCCTGTCTCTCCTGGTTCCTGTAAGAGTAATTTAACTTAAGTTCGATAGTTTCCACTTCCCTGGTCAGCGCCTCCTTTCGTGTATCAGATATTCTAGCACTCCTGAGGAGCTCAGTGACTCTTCGTCGTCTTCTGTAGAGGGAGCGTCTTTCTCTCTCCAGTTTACTCCTGCTCTTCTTCTTTCTTAGGGGAATATGCCTAGAACATGCTTCAGCTGCCAGGAAGTTGATCCTTTCAAGGCACTGGTTTGGATCCATGTCATTTAAGACATCTTCCCAACATGTTTCGTTTAGGACATGGTTTACCTGGTCCCAGTTGATGTTCTTGTTGCCTACATATATCTCAAGAATAGAATTTAAACAAATTTCATATGAACTGGCTAGAATTTGTGGGGGTTGAGTTCTAAAATGGTGTAAATCCTAGAACTATACTAGCACTAATCTCAGCCAGAATCACAAGT